CCCCCCCTTATCCACAGTATCATGTCACACCTAAGAAAAGCAAAACATACATAAAATGTTCAATACTAAACTAAGATTTTATTTTATTCTTTAAAATTTTCCCATCATGATAATGGATTAAGATATTTTATTAGAAAATTGGGGTTCGTAGTACCTATAATACCTGAGGCAATTTTGACCTCAAAATAATGTTTTTAAAATTAATTCACTAAAGATGTTTATTCAAAATTAGAAAATGTAAGGTTTAAAAAAAAAAAAAATGTGGCGTCACAAATTTTTAACCCACTCCTACCTGTCAAAAAGTTTCACAAATTCTCGAGAATTTTCAATATTCAAGCTAGATTGGTGAAAAATGTAGTTTAATTCCGTATTGTTCAGAGTATAGCCCGCATTTTTCCCCATGCCATAATATTAGTGTTTAGATTAATGATGTTGCAAGCAATAATAATAGAAAAAAATGTTCCGATATGATATTGAGAAGATAGAGGGAAGTAAGGGTGCGGCATTTAAGTAGGCCTGTACAGAACAAGTGATAAGGCGTTTCATGTATTATACATGAAACGCCTTATCACTTGTTCTATTGTATTTATAATCCATTGGTGCATCTAGATTTGACTTTTAATAGCTATTCGGATTATCAAATATATCGAGCGTACCAAAATTTCATTGGTTCCAATATTCCTATAACCCAATTTTTATAGGTGAAATGTATTTTTACGACTCTTTATAAAAATGTTATACAGAAGACAAAGCGTTGTTGTTTATTTTTTACAAATATATTTGCTCTTGATTTTTGTACACATTTATCTCCCGTGAGTTAGGCTGTATCAGGTACTTCATTTGGGTAGGTCAGGATGGGCTCCACTCCCTGAATTTGCAGGATTTCCTTAAACTGTTGCGTACTCTGGCACAGTGGCGTAGCTAGGGTCATTTTTATCCGGTGCGGTTAATTCATGGTGTCACCCCCCTCCCCCTACTTCCAAGATGGATTTGTTATTGTTAAAATAAGTCCACAGTATAACAATGACAAGAACAAAAACAAATTTATTATTATTAGTGGTTTTATATAGCGTGGTACCCCAGCCTGGGGCTGAGCTCACGACGATGTACATACAATTTCACAAACACAATCATGAACTTTAAAAATTAACATACATTAATTAAATAAAACAAAACAATTGTATATTCACTCCACCCATTTCAGAAATATTTACATGTCAAGCCATGGACGGCACCCAGCAGCCTCGTTTATCGGTCAGAGAGGGAATCAGTCAGGATAGTGGAGTTTAAAGAGATGTGTTTTGAGTGCAGTTTTGAAGGCTTTGATTGTCGGTATATTGCGGATGTGTAGTGGAAGAGAATTCCATTGTTTGGGGGCACAGAAAGAGAAAATTTATTGGAGCCAGAATGAGCAATACATTGATCCCGGGCCCTCAAAAATATAGAAGAAGAAGAAAAAGTAAGTATTATACATGAAAGTTATATTTTTTATATTAAATTTACTTTTTATTTAAAATTTTCCTTTTCTGGTCTTCAAAGCTGCAAATCTGGCAATCCTTTGATCAAATTCGATATCCTTTAACGTATCACTTTCAATAGTAAAGCCAGATCAGAAAGCCTTGACTATCCCATGGTGGATCGTAAATAGGTCTTGATAAGCCTTAGTTTTGAAAAACTCCGCTCCCATGAATTCACAGACACACAAAATGACATATCGTAAGAAAATGTAAGGCTTAGCGAGCGTATTAGAAGAGATTCGAACATTTTTTCGATGGATTATGCGGAACGTCATTTTGGATCATCCTCTATACGAATACTAAGATGCAAGTACCGGCACCTTTCTTTTTAAACACCAAAAAAAAAACTCAGTAAATAGTTAGTACAATCACAAATCAGTTACAAGTGTTAAAAATGTCCTGATTTAAGGGGATTAAAATATGGTTATCTCTGTTGGTTTTTTTTTTTAATCTCATCTCGGTCAATAGTATGACCGATTGAAACCATAAACAAGAAGTTCAAGAACACACAAAAAAAGTGAACTGGAAAGCGACTGTGTTTGCTCAACCTTAGCGAGTCCATATTATTTTGGTGGGTATACCCTTATAAGGCTTATGGCTATATCTTTGGCTGAACCAGGATATGAGAGATCTAAGTCTAAACCTTTTTTTTTTATGTTCTTCTTCTAATCTTTCTTTACGCGATACCGATAATAAATTCCCGTGCCGTAGCTGGCCGTCCTACTCATTATATTAATAATAAAAATTACTAGACTCTTACTGTCTTACTCTTACTCATAGTAACTTAGTAAGTTACTACAAGGGTAAAATTACATTTCGTGAAATCATTTTACATATTTTTAATTACTAATTATTATAGCTATATATATAGGTGATATAATTAGGCTACGAGTAGGCCCTACTTGACTGAAATTTAGGTATAAGTTAATATTTAATATAATATAAGTTGAAGAGTATAAGTATAAGTGACATAAGATTTAAATTTTGAACATTTACTGATCAGCATAAAAGTTAGATAAGTTAGATACATATATATATATATATATATATATATATATATATTATATATAATATATATCTTTCTATCTTTATTATTACTTTTATTATATTATACTTATAGTCTTGGTAGTGAAGTTATGAATTTATTTTTTAAGATCATTTTTGTGGGGTTGGGGTGTGAATTTTGTTAAGCCCCTATTTTAGTTTAAGTTTAGGCTTAGTATTTAATAATGAAAACTTGTGACAAAATTTCCTTCTGCCTTATTTTGAAAAAAGCATTTTTATTTTTAAAAATAATGGTACCAAATTTTCAGGAGACGTTCTCAATCATTCAATACAAGATATTATTATTTTTCGTGCTTCGCATATAAAGATGAGCAAGGCTTTGACTTGAGTAGTTAGCTGTATTTTTTTTAAAATGAGTGAGAGTTGCTCAATTAGTCAGCCTCATTCCAATGGCAAGACATAGTCAAGACGACTGGAAATAAACCAGGATTTAGTAGATGACCAGCAGTGTTTCTTGTGTCTCACTTTCCTCTTCCACATCACAGGAGTTGTCAGAATTTTCATTTTGACAATATCATGCCCCCTCATGGCTCCATCTCCAGGTTTGATTTCAGAGTTTGCCTTCTCTAAGATGAGTCGTGATCCAAGGTTAACGAGTCTCATTCACCTGGGGTACTGGTGTTGCTTTTTCTTGTCTAGGCTTTTGCTGGGGATTGAACTCCAGTCCTCTAGCTTTGGATTGACTCAGGACTTTCCACCCAGCACCCAGTGCCTTATAGAATGTTTAATATTAAATAATTTTTAATTATACATACAATATTTACTTTTAAAAGTTTCTGTTGGGCAAAACCAAATTCGTTACATTTAAGAGGTCCATTGGGTACATGTGTTGGTTACCCACCCGTGCCTATATTGTCTTTGCCTCCCTACTCTTTGTCCTACCATCACCGCTTTTTCTTGTAAGCTGGGCCCTGCTTCTTTCTTATCCACCTCTGACTTCCAATAAATGCATGAAGCCTTTCGCACAGCATGAACACAGCCAGAGTCTCAGAAAAATTACCTTAGAGCAAAATAATCAAACAATTGCCTGCTCCTTATCCCTGTTTATTTATTTGATCTTGAAATTTTTGTTTACGTATCCTTGATGCAGTGTTTTAAATATTTTCAGATTTTAGAAAGGAAAACTGATAATGAAGATGTTGGTGTTGGTAATACTTTTTCAAGCTTTCATTATACAAACATTGACAGGTAATTATAAACACTATAGGTCAGTGTTCCATGAACTTTTCAGCATACTTGGGCTTTCCATGTAATCTGCAGCATACCACAGCAAAAAATATTAAAAATATTGAATTCAGAGTACACATAAAGGATTGCTGTTTGTCCCAAATGTTGTACCAATAAACATGTAGGCAACAAATAATGGTCTCTTTTATCTCCACATGTTTAAATCACGTTCACACACCATAAATAAGTTCTTTGCTCTGCCTCCTTTTGGAGCCAACAGTGCCTTTATATTAACAAAAACAATTCTAGTCCGTTTTAAATACCATCGTCTACTCGTTTCAGCAACATCAGTTCCACTGTGGAAGACACAATTGATTCACCATAATTTATGGAAAGGAGATATTGGCAATGGTCATTGGAAGTATCCTAGCATGTTAGAAGTCCATTCTGTTCAAGTGGAAGAATATGGTTCTGCTCTCGTTACATTTTCAGCTCATGATATCAACTTGGACATGTGTGGTAAGAAATACTCAAACTCTCAGCTATTTTTTTAAAAATTAGACCTTTGAAGTGTGGTTGGCCGGTGTAACATTCAAGTAACAATGTCACAAAAGAACTCATGCCAGGGTACACTTGGAAGTGTGGTTGGCGGGCGTAACATTCAAGCAACAACGTCACAAAAGAGCTCACTCCAGGGTACAGATTACTACTTGGATGAATGGTTGATGGGTGCAACGCTCGTCATCCCCTAACTTGACCCCCTCAACCTCTCCCCCAGGCACACTTGTCATCACCCCTTACTTCACCCTAGTGTACTCACCAGGCACATTTGTCATAACCCCATACTTCACCCTAGTGTACTCACCAGGCACATTTGTCATCACCCCTTTCTTCACCCTAGTGTACTCACCAGGCACATTTGTCATCACCCCTTACTTCACCCTAGTGTACTCACCAGGCACATTTGTCATCACCCCTTACTTCACCATAGTGTACTCACCAGGCACATTTGTCATCACCCCTTACTTCACCCTAGTGTACTCACCAGGCACATTTGTCATCACCCCTTACTTCACCCTAGTGTACTCACCAGGCACACTTGTCATCACCCTTTACTTCACCCTAGTGTACTCACCAGGCACATTTGTCATCACCCCTTACTTCACCCTAGTGTACTCACCAGGCACATTTGTCATCACCCCTTACTTCACCCTAGTGTACTCAACATTTACCTTTTCCCTCCTCACCCTCTCTCACCTTGACCTATAACCAAACCACTCACCCCTGCATTTCCTCCTACACTGTTCATATTTCCCTTACCCACTGTTCTACCATCACCACCTTCTTTTCTTAAACTGGACCATGTTCCTGGACCATGTTCCTAATATCCAATAAATCCATGAAGCCTGGGAAGTAGCTAGAACAGAGCCAGAGCTCCAGAATTCTTACATGAAGTAGAATGTGCCAAAAAATGATCTATTTGTTTATCTACTTGAAAGTAAAACAAACGATGAACTATCAAAGCAATTTTTCTTCAAATACTGTAACATTTTTGGACTCATCCGTTTCCTCTCTTTGTTTTCTAGGTAAGTCATCCAACAATAAGACAGTGATTTTTTATGAAGATTCTACGTGGGATAAGTCCTCACACTTTGAGGGCCAAACAAACTTGAAAATCAGTGGGGAATTTCTCAAGGATGGCATCAACTATTACTTCTCTGGAAATGTCAGCTCAGATGAGGATCAGACATACGCCGTTGTTTGGTTATCACCTGCAGGTAAAATTACAGACTCCATTACAGTTTCCTAGATTTTGATTGAAATTAACTAGTAAACATAAACAAGTAAATTAATGATAATTATAATTTATTTTCATTTTCTTCTTTGATAATTTATGAGTCAATTTATTGACATAAGAATGTGCTGACTCAAGGAAAACTATTTGAACAATTTTAATAAAAGCTAATATAATTAGTGTGAATATTTTCATCCAAAGGTTTGGAAATTTTCTCTAAATTTACATGGGAATGAAAAATTTATGTACTTAAGACTTTTTGTATGCATTACATTTTTAATTTAGATAACATTAAAATGAAAAGCTTAAGAAAAACAGGTTGAAAATTATGGGAAAATTCCATCATAGTCACAAGATAAATTTGAAAGCAAGAGAATCTTTCATAAATTTTTAATCGAATCAGGTTACCCAGTAGAAATCATCAAAGAAACTAACACACATCTGAGGTATGGGCTGGCCATTGGCATACCTGTAGGACTTGGTGTTGTTCTCATAGTGTCAGCTGCTTTGATAATGTGGTGGGCTGTAAAGAAAGGTTTGTCCTTAGTTTGATTCTTAACTTTTCTTTTAACTTTTCTTTTAATGATCTCCAATATTTTAAAACAAGTTCTTTAAGTACGGAATCAGTTTTTTCCACCAACAAAATAAAGAATTGCAATTATCATCAATGAATATTCTTAAAATTTTATAATTCTTTGTGAGTTTAATGTTATTGCAATAATGTGTTTCCTCAATTTTATTTTTGTATTACACATATTTGGGACATTTATGGAAATACTTAATATATATATCACAAATTTATATTTTAATATAATCATACACAAAGGAGTTAAATGGCTTCTTTAAATTTACCTGTAAAGAACGCAGTAATGTTTCATTATTATTATTATGCTATTTTCGATACGACAAATGGATAGACTAATATTATCTGTTCTAATGTTATTTGTGCAGGTTACGTACGCCACATTCCAATGGCTTACAAGAGCTTCACTAACCCAAAGCGATCAGCAGCAGTATACAAGCTTGAAACAGATCATGGTGATGGGCAGACACCTTCAGTGCATATATAAGTGATGAATTGCAGTTGATGATTGAAGGGGAGGTACAAACAACAAAGTAGAGTTTGAGAGCATTCTTTATTTCTTATCTCTTCTGCAAATTAATTACCATTAATCTAGAGGACCCTAATGTATTCTGGAATTCTTGTAAGTTTACTTACATATATTCAATTGTTAATATTTTTCCTAAGTTTAACTGGTCAGGACATTACAGCGAAGAGGTAGCGTTAACTTATTATTTGGTTTGATTGGCTCGTCTCTTTTTTAAAAAAAATTGTAAGCTTATAAGGTTAGTGAAATAATGAAATTAAAAACTAGTATTCGTCAGCTACTGTAAAGAAACTACTTATTGCTATCACAGTACATCCAAATTAAAGGCTCAAATAACATTTCGACGCACCCTAAGATCTTTTGATGTTTTTTTCGTCACAGTTTTTGGAATTGTTTGCCAAATTTAATCATAGGCTGAATAAAACAAAAAATATTTAATAGAGTCTCATTAAAATTTTTATGTAGATCTGTAAAAATGTTTTATACTAGAAATTGAACATGTTGTCTTTTTTCTTTTCAATAAAATATGTTATAATTGCAACAATTCAGTCAAATCTTCAAACTCACGGTTAAATTATCATTAGAATGAAATTATAGACACTATGGATGTCACTTTTAAATATCTTTAAGACATTCCTTTTATATCCAATCAATTATCTTATATATTGTCATCTGTTTTATCAGCACACTGACTTATACGTTCTATTAAGTGCACTTTTTATCACCTTAATGATGTCAATTCTCTGTGCACTTTATAACCTGAATACATTTCTTAGCTCTTTTTGTATAATTTAACTGGCTACATTTCTCATCCACTATGTTTGACGTGTTGTAAATATCGATGTACAGTTTTAATGTAGATGCATCCAATAATGCTCTCTTATGATGACCAAGTGACTTCTTTTAACATTTAGTTTTTTTACTTCTGTGTTTTTAAGAAAACAATTATTTGTGATTGAAGACTTAATTACCTCATGTGAATTGGTTTGTCAATCCACATGTATGCTATGTACTTTGTATTTTCTCTATGTTGTAGAGCCCATTGCATTACTTGAATTAGAATTTTTTTAAGATATTGAGTTGCTTAGTATTTATTTAGATGTTAAAAATATTATTGGGTGATTTTGAAATTATTTAACTTATGATTTTCATGTTGTTTACAATTTGTTGTGTTTCTTTCTCAAAGACTTCTGCTAACAAACATTCCAGAGTTATGTGCCACTGTACTCTATTTGAGGTTTATTTACAAGTCAATTAGAAAATACACCCGGAAAATTACCATATGTGAAATGGATAACTATTTTAATTTCAACCGTAAGCCTAATTAATATATTTTCAAAATATATAGTGAGTATTCTTGAAAATGAAGCAACATTTGTATCGCAACTAATATTAAATTGTAAATAAATTTGTTCCTGTAATGAAAAAAAAAATATTTCAAGTTGTTTAATTATAAAATTCTTGGGAAAAAGAAATAATAAATGAGTGCAAACCATGCATTCTTTTGATTTCTGTCTTATCATAGTATTTTTAATGCCACTATTGGGATTACTTGGAAGTAGCCAAACTTTTTTTTTTTTTTTTTAATTTTTATTTTTTTTCCCCCCCCTTACATTTGCTAAAAACAGAGGATAAAAAAGAATTTTTTTTCACCTGTTCCTTTTTTATTGCATTAATTACTTTCTAAATTGAGCACAAAGAAACAATTTTTTTTAACTTCCACAGTTATTTATGGATTTAATAATGTATTACTGGTATCTTAAAACAGGGAAATACTAAAATATAAACAGGTTAGCATATGTGATCTGTGAGCTAATTAATTAAATGCTTTTTATACATGTTTTTTTGTACTTAAATTACCTAAACAGTTACAATTGTATAATTGGTCAGCGTATTTATGATTCAAATCATCATTAAGAATAACTAAACATTTGAAGTATTTATCAGCACATGAAGTGGTCATTTTGACTTATTACAAACAAGGCACTTTTTTTCATATTTAAGACCAAACCCCACATTTAATTTTTCATACTAAGTATAAAATCAAATAACTTTTTACGCACAGAAGAAATTATATTTTAATTATTCTGCCTAATTAATAATGTTTCCCTGATAAAATCAAAGTTCAACTTTTCATTATCAATCTGGAAGATGCTCAGCTGTAATGAAGACTGGATCTATGCAACAACTTTTAAGTTGTGAAATTTTGTTTAAGTAATTTTTTTGATATTTTCTGCATGATGTTTAATAATATGCAGCAAATTTTGATAATTTTAAAATTTTACTTTGATGTAGAGTATAGTGGTGAGAATTACAAGGCCCGTTTCCATGTTGCTAGTGATTTAGTCCATATCATTTGTATAGCCTTAGACACCTTCACATGTGAAGGGCGGATGGCATCATTTTTGGACAAATAATTGTTTCCAAGGCATAAAAATAAAGAGAGTGAAAAAAAAAACTTTGTGGTTTAAATTATTCTGATTATTAAAAATAATTTCCATTTTATTTCTATACCTTTACAATGCTAAACTTTATAAGTATATCTGCATATATTTTAATACTGTTATAATTTTTTAATGAATTTTTTTCTCCAAAAATAAAAAAAATAATACCAAGTTCAAATGTTGTGTATGTGTGTTAGCATACGCTGATTTTAGTTTAGCTGATGTCTTTTTAAAATAAGAATAAATAACAATGTACACAAAGGTTGAGGTTACATATTTTAATGAAAGCTGTAAAAATGTTAACTTATAATCGACACTGACAATTTTAATTCCTCATCTTACAATATATTTATTACATTCCTTATCTTACAATATATTATAAATGTCAGTTATATTTCACATGATAAAGGGATACATAAGAATATAGAGTAAACGCATTTGAGAAGATCTTTAAGCTGGGAATTTTCTTTTTTGTATTACTTAACTTTAACTTCCGATAAAACAAGTGGACAATAAAAAATATTTTGTTGTAAAAATCAGTAACTATGACAGAGTTATGATTTGACAATTTTAAAATGACAAGAAACTGTTGCATTAAACACACTTCATATACATGCCTTGTAAAGCTGTATTCAATTTTCAAATCTGCTTATCACGTACCTAATTTGAAATACTTGAAATTTAGAAAACTTCAATGATACAAAAATTACAAAATGAAAAGTATCAACATTATTTCTTCTTTCCTTTTTTGCCTCCCTTCCCCTTGCCTTTCTTTTTCCCCTTTCCTTTGCCTCTCTTTTTCTTCTTTTTTCCAAATGGCCCAAATCCTTTACGTACCATGACTCCTCTCCACCAAGACTGAAGCTAATGAAACAGAGGGGAAAAATGGTCATTTATAAAGTTATGTCTTATTGAAACAAAATACAATAGACAGAACATAGAATAGATACAAAAGTTTTGCAGGTTTAGCAAGAAATAGAATATAAAAATAATTTTAATCAGTGTTACAAGGCCTTAAGTTATGTATATATATTTTTTATAAACACATTTTTGTTCATGGCTATATGACAACATTAATTACCCCCCCCCCCCCCTACCCTCCCCCCACTTCCCAACCTTTATGTGGCTGACCTGGACATGGGGCCTATGTGGTGAGTTTACAATCACAAACCCCTTCAATTCTTATCACTCAAGAAACCACCGTATGTTCCCAGACAGTGGTTCTCAAAGTCCTACCCATATTACACTTTTCAAGGTGGGCAGTTCCACCCCTTGGGTGGGGGGGGGCAATGTGGATAACTTAACCCAAGGGGGGAGGCGTGGGAGATTGCAGGGTGCCATGTGGAATTACAAAGGGACTACGTTTTTAATGAAAATTATATTTTTGAAAGAAATAATGATGCTGTTTTGATTGTTAATAAGAGTCGAGGTTAATCAACTTTTCACGAGGATTTGATACAACTTTCAAACAACGGTGATTGACACCAAAACATTATACCCTACTTAGCTGGGCATTATGAGCTGACAATACATGATAGTATTAAATGGACTTAACAAATGAGACGAAGACTGTCAATGCCTTCAATCAAAACACCACTTGCATGCTTCATATAATATAAAATTGCATTGTTAATCACTAAATGAGGACAGACACAAACAATAAGTGAAGCACTCCCCTGACCAACTATTGTTGAGGTTCTTATTTCAGATAAACATGGCTTAGAAACTTAGAATATGGATGATATGTTGTGTAGCTAGCAGTGATCAAAATCTACCAAGTGGCGTGCAAAGATGGGCGGCTGGGCGGAAATTTTCTGGCAAAGGTAGAGTTGTTTTTTTTCCCATGGAATGGAGTAGGCAAAATTTTGGCCTGCCCCAGGTGGCACTAACCCTAGCTTCGCCATTGAACACTGCAGTATGAATTGACATTCCAGACAATGAACCTTTGTTTATCACCAATGAACACTTTGTGTGGATAGAAGAGCGCAGATTATACGAACCCGTTGGAAACAGGGGAACAGAAACCCCCATTGAAATATTTCATTCACTGTATGGGACCGAGCTATTGCTCTTTAATGGCCCCGGCAAGTATGGAACAGGCCTGCCTCATCTGCTGGGCAGACCCGTATAACAGGCTCTCGACGTGGTTGGCTTTGCCAGCTCCACGTTTTCGAGTCTATTTGTACTTGCCATATTGAATACTGAGACTGGGAAGAACGCTTCCACCCCAGAGGGACTGACTTGCGTCATCAGTCCCCTTTCCCAAGGGGTCTTTCGGACCGGACATTTGGCGTTTAGCCGGGTTTTTTAGTTTCGGGTAGTCGGGTCTACCTTACTCGTCCGCCACGCCGCGAAGAGGCAAAACCCTTGTGCTGGGCGTAAATATTAATTTGAAAGGCTGGGCATAAATATTAATTTGCTTTTTTTTATTTGCCAATGTTTCATGACATGCGGCTTCTGCATGGTAATAAAATGAACCGATAGTAAAAATAATTATGATTTGTGTAGCCTTGAAAATGATTTTTTTCCCCTCCTGGTTTACAAAGTGGTTATACAGGTATCATTTTTTTCATGTCTTTTGAGATATTAGAGCCAAATATGAAAATTTGGCAAGACAAGATTAGCCTTTGAGAGAAATATGGTGGTCAGAGGAAAAATGTAAATAATTAACCTTCAATAACACAAGATAAGAATAATTCTACCACAAATATATATGATAATAGGCCTGCCTGATAGTTTGTACATGCTTTGAATAGAGAATTCAATGCACATGTAATCTGAACTTATCACAGAGAAACTGAAAGCTGGCATTTTGATGGTCCGTGGATTAGAAAAGGCATAAATTATCCACCTTTCATTAAATCAATGAATGAAATTTAATGATCTCCAGGCCTTTATTTATTCTTGCTGTGAAAAACGTTATTGCAGTCACTTAGATTGGTGTCCTGAGAAACTCTACACAAAGAGTGATGTGAAAGATTACACCATCATGCATTAGCAGCCAGATACTAAGGTAGATGAATTGCACATATGCAGGCATTAAACATTTGAAGAAAAAAAATTTTTTTTATTGGATTGCCTAACAACTTCTGGCTCACCCTGCATATAAATTATAAGAAAACATGTCCCAGTGCTCTGCTGAGTGAGTTTGGCTGACAGAAACAAATAATTTACCTTAATGGATGCCTTAAGCTCTATAGCTTCTTGCTCAGCTTTTCTCCTGGCTTTTTCTTTCTCAATTCTGTCCTCTACTACAATCTGTTCATACTCTTTATACTGAAATATAGTGATCAATTTTTAAAAATAACATTCATAGCTTTTCACAAGCTTTCACATTAGCAAAAAGTATAAAAATAATTAAAAATGTAAATATTTCATGTTTTATGAATAGCATAAATATATCTTCAAAAATATTTAGTATCCATTTAGATTAGACTGACCAGTTTAGTAAGTTCTTGTAACTTCTCCAAATCTTTGGCCTTGGTTTGCTTCAAAGTGTCCAGCTCTTTCTGCTTGGCCTCTTTATCAGTCTCATACTTCTCTATCCAAAAATCAAGCTTTTTCTCTAAATCCTGTGGAATGTTTTGTAAAGCAACTATAAATTGTCTTATTCATTTCCTCAACTATATCTTTAGAAACTGATAATTTCCAAAAAGAAATAGTTAAAAATCAATTTTTAAGATAATTTTTCATTAAAACACTGTAGGCCTTTAAATGTAATAGTGCTCTTGATCTCCCTTAAAAAGAATCAAACAATAATCACCCAGACCTTTATGAATTTTTTTTTTAAAATATATATGTGTATATAGACCTATATTCAATAGCTAGAAGATGTGGGGTGGTCCATCCCCGGCGTAAATGTTTTTATATTTGTGAGGGGCTGAATTTGGGTCGAAAATAAGGACAAAAAAATGTAATTGATGCATGGAAAGACGCATAATTATATTTTTCCATGAATTATTATTACTATTCTTCGACATGTGTTCTCTATAAAAACATAGCGTTGCATTATAAGCCATGCTGTTATGAAGACATATATGTACATTTAATACTGTCAGCTTTCTCATCACCATTCAGCTACAATTGAAAAAATTCTATAAATCATTTTTTATTCTGACCCAATTACACAGCTAAATTATTTAAAGGCGGCATTCGACAGGTTTCTTTCATTTGGTGATTTCAGGATAACAGGATTTAAAAATAAATATTTTGTTGACTGATTTTAAAAAAAGTTGTTTTTTTTTATTAATGAAGCAATTTAAACAAATAAACAGTTTGAATAAAAAGTTATAAAACAGCATTAATATTTAATAACAATTAAAATTGAAGGATTTGTACAAACACAACCAGGTAAAGGGAAACCAGAATTTCCACTAGCATCTCTTCTTTAACTCTCTAATTAAGTGTTGAATGATGAAAATCTAAATTCAGGTTAGTGCCAAAAGGCATCCCTGGACTTTGAATTTATAACAAAAAAATCAATGAGCCCCTACTCACTCCTTGGCTCCATAGTCTTTGGATTGCTTGATTCCTGCTTCCCCCCTCCCTCTCATTCAAAGTGAAAGAACTGGCACACTTTTATAACTTCATTTGATATACTGCCTATACATAATTTATTGATGAAATTGGGAGGTGGGGGGGCTGCCACTTTCAGGCTTCGCCTTGGACGCAGCTGAACAATTCTTATCTACCTTCGTACATGCTGCTAATATTGGAACCATTCCAAAAAATTCCCACTTTTAAAAATAACTAAATAATTGTCAATTTTCAGCTTGTTAACTTGTTAAACTTTTATTGTATATTTCCAAGTAAAAAAATTTTTGTTTCACACAATATGTTATAAGAAAGTTAACTATACATTTTTAAAATCTCCTTCTGTTTGATACCATCTAATAGTTTTTATTTTGTGGCTGAGGTTTTCTTTTCAGATTTTTCTCCAACCCAACCAGGGCAATGCTTAAATATTCAATTTAAAAGATATATTTTACCAAAAGGCATTTGTACCCAGAAATGGAGTTTAAATAAATCAAAGTTGAAAGAGAAATGTATATTTCACATACTGATTGATGTTCCTGTAAATATTTTAGAATCTCTTTGTGAGCCCTGTTCTCTTCATCTGTTTTGTGGTGAAGTTTCTGTAAAAATACAATGAATCTATATCATTAAGTTAGCTAGTTTTAGAGTAGAAAATCTTGCTTCATTGTCAAAAATGAAGAAAGTAAATAATAAATCAATTTTTTTTAAAATTTGTGTAAGAATAAAAATGAGACTTTATATTACAAATTAATTAGAACTAAAATTTAAAGAGGCATTTCAAATATAAATTCAGTAATATTATCTAAATTTTACTTCAATTTCATCCTTCATTTCCTTCTCCGTCAAGAAACATTTTTTCTGGGATTGTGCAACAGCAACATCTGCACATTTTTTAATGTACTTTCCTTCCATGTTGGTTTTTGCTTTCATTTCCTAAAAGAAAACATTATTTACTTGGATTTATTTTTAAATTATTAAAAATGTGTTGGACACCAACTTAACAATATTAGTACATATCTTGAAATTAAGCCCATAATTTTATTTTGATTCAAAATTAACAAATTCTTCTTAATTAAGAAGAGATGATATGAATTATTATCTTTTTCCTTTGCATGAAACATTCATTTCTACAGCAAATTAAATTTTAAATAACTTTTTATGAGACCTGTGATTATGATTAAACAAATAAACAATAACAGCAAAGAGAATAAAACAACACTGGTGCCAGAAATAAGCATAGCTAAATGGAGTTTTGTAATCGACTTAATGCATACTTGAAGCTGATCTTTCAAGTGAGAGATCATTTCTTTTCTTTGTTGAACTTCAACTTCCCTTTCTTTCTTAACATCTATTAACTGTTTCTGGAGTTCTTTAACCTTTTTTCTACCATCTTGTTCTCTGGCATTTGGAAAGCAAGTTAAAATTAGCTTGAAATTTGTGGATTAAATGCATAAAATAATTTGTATTGCAACAAAATTGACAAATAAGGCACGAGAAGCACAAGTTTCATATAATCTAAAGGGAATTTTTTTAATTTTCTTTATTTGAAAGTAATTTTACATGCTGTACAAATATGGCATGTTTTAAATTATTTTGTTGCAACCAGCTATTCCTTTTATATTTCAATCTCTTGCTATTAAATATAATTGTTAATTAGAAGTTTGAGCTTATCAAATTGAATCTCTACATCAGGGGTCTCAAACTCAAATCATCCGGGGGCCTCAGGAGGTAGAGTCTGAATGAGACTGGGCCACATCAAGTAAAAAAGAAAAAAGCGAATACAAATTCAATAAAGTACAAATGTTACAAACTGCTCAACATTTATTAATAACAAAATAAATTATTAAGGGTTCTCAAGAACTAGGCTTCACTTTCTTCCTCCTACTCCTAGTTGCCAGAGACCTGGCAGCACTTCTTCTTACAATGCTGAGCAAAATATGGCTTGAGTGAGTAAGCACCTGAGACACTCAGTATAGTTTGAAGATGCTCATCAAGATTCGCCCTGAACTTTGACTTGTTAAATTTCATAATTGGAAAAGAGCTTTTCACACTGATATAGGTACTCCCAAAAAAAAGCACATGATCCGCTTGAGCAAACTGGAAATCTCAGTGAAGGTGGAGGGCAATGCTCTCATAAATTATCCATGCTTGTCTGTTTTTCCATTCACCTCCCTGAACTTAGAATTGCACTGAATTTCAATCAGCCCCATTTGAAGAGCAAGTGAGGAATAAGGAGGGGGGGGGGGATTAAATGAGAAAGGGTCAGCAACAAGTTTAAAAGTGGCTGTGTGTGTTTTGAAGTCTTAAAACACGTGATCAGATTCTTCCTGCAGCTTTGCAATGGCATCAGTATATTCACTACTGAATGGTGTTCCTTAATCCATGAGTACTTTTCATTTTGGGAAATGGTAGAGGTTTCTCAAAGAACCATAATACAAGTTATGTGCAGAATGCCATGACATTGTCATTGGCAACACTAACAAACTACCCCTGTTTTTGTAAGTTCTTGTTGAGTACATACAGTTGTGTAATGTCAACAAGAAAAGCCAAGTCCATGAGCTATTTGGCATCACGTAGTACAAGAACAACAACCCCATACTTCTCCACGAAGACTTTGAAGGCTAAAACGTGTTCAAATAGTAGGCATGAGCAGGCAATATTATGAATTGTTGATGTTAAGGAAGATGCTATTGTAGGTAGAATGAATTTTGATTTTTTTATCGCAGAAAAGGCTTTTTTGACTAATCCCTATTTTGAAATGGAACCAAGCTGACTGGCTCGGAATTTCCCTCACTCGTTAACAGTAGGGGCAATTTTAATTGGGGTTCTTTGATGCTATGTCAGATTGCTACATTTTACACAATTATGGTTGTGCATTACCCACTAACTGACTTTTTAAATTTTTTCAAAACCGCACTTTGGCCACGTTTGTGTCAAAAAATGCTATGAAATAAAAACTTTTAGTCCGGTTTTAAAACGGTTCTTACAATTATAATCAACTTCCAAATCTATACAATCACAATAAAAATCATAATTAGACTAGTCGCTGAGATTCGAATGAAACCGGCGCGGAGGATCACATTATATATTTGAGAATGGGGATAACTCGCGGGCCGCATTACACTAAACTTTGCTGCCATGTTGCGGGCCGCAAAATATTGTCTTGCGGGCTGCAAATGGCCCGGGGGCCATGAGTTTGAGACCCCTGCTCTACATACTAGTTCATTGTTTAAATTAATAGATTTATCTCCATATTTACTTCTGTATGGTACTCTGTAGAGATGCTTTGCGTTGTTTCTCAGCTCTTACAGCTTCTATCAAAGACTCAAAACTACAGTTTTGAACTAATTCTGTCATTGTTGCAGTCACTACATTCTCAACATAGGCTCTGTTTGAAAATAAAAAGTACATACATTTAAAAGAGCACTATTTCTTTCTTCAGTGTGATATTGAATCTAAAAAATTGTTTATATCATAATTAATATCAATTATTTTTTTCAAGCACTGTTGAAGAAACTTAGACAATTCATTTGAAGGTAATTGCTTGCTATTTTCTTAAATTACCTATCATCTTGAATTTTATTCAAATTGTCTGCTGTAAGTGGATTTTGTTTTAAAGTTCTTCCAAATATATGAGTTGAGTTCTTTAAATCACCACCTGCATTCAAGACTTCTTTTTCAATATTAAGAAGTTTTTCAGGATTCTTTGTCACCCCAAGCATTTCAATCTTTTTAATGAGAACAGATTGGTATCTCCTCTCTAACTGAACTTGGCAATCTACTATCTGGTTAAGCTCCCCACGAACAATCTGAAGGTAAGGGTAAGATACAAATGTATTTTTCATGGCAGTTTAAAATAAAATCAGTCTGTTTTTTAAACTTAAAAAGTTGTCTAGCTAGGAATAATGAATAACTATCAGCCTACTGCCTACTATAATAAAATCCCAGATGCAAGACCAATTTAAATTCTAAAATATTAAACACAAAATTTGCATGTTTAATCTTGCTAGGATTTCAATAGTTAAAAAAAATAATGACTATGCCAAAGTGAAAAAGAAATTAACATAACAAAATGTGTTATATATTGTTTTTTTTATAAATCATTCAGGTGATATAAATGAAGCGTGGTTTGACAAAGTTTTACACTAATTTGTGAGGAGCCAATTAAATTTGGGAAGTTTAACAGCATGTCAAAAATTATCTTACAGATCAATTCATGCCTTTTAATGTTTAAATATCATCATATTTTTAACTAGTCATTACATTCATTTAATGTGTGTGTAAAATGTATGCACTTTTATTTTTTTGATGATATTTATACATTTACGATTTTGATTTTTTTCAATAGATAACATTTTTTTCATCTTTAATTAGTCATAGCTTTCACATGTTGTACAATGTAAATGTAATGCTCCAGGATACTAAAAAAAAAAGAATTGTTTGGCTATCTTTGTTTTTATTTTTTTTCTGAATTGAGTTTGTCATGCCCCTAAAGTTGACCTTCATTTTACTCATTATTAGAACCATACATCATAAAAAGTACTGTCCATAAAAAGTACTATATCAAACAAATCAGTTAAAGAAATTATAAAGGATTTGACAATTTAAGTCCATAATAACTACGGTCTACTGCATAGTAGCACTTTTAATATAGACATTGACAATGTGATTGGATTTACATTTTTATAACTTGCATACTCACATAGTTGAGAATATCATGTATGTCATTTATAATTGCTAAAACATCAAAATATTTTTTGAAATTCTTACCTCCAGTGCATCAGGCCTGAATTCAAAAGATGTGGGCATAATCCGTCCAAGTGTAGCCAACTGATCTATACAATCCTCAAAAACAGTGGCTACATGGATGGCATCAACACCTGTTAACATAGGAGCTCCACTCATCTGGTAGAAAAAAGACAACAATCAAAGTTACACTTGTATTATTAGCTCTCTGTTTCAATCAGTAAATCAGGAACATGCAAAGCTGAGTAGAGAGTGTTGGAGTTTGTGAACTAGGTGTGAATTTATTTTTCATTATTTTCTCATAGGGAAGTTTACAAACAGCATCACAGTGATATAATTTACTAGTTTTAAATATTGGTTAATCAACACAAATAGTATAAAGAGTGATAGTATAAAATTATGTTTTTAAGGAATTAATTTTAAAGAATGAAAGCTTGTCTATCAATATACCAAATAAATGAAGACTTTATATTCTGAGTTAATAAATGATTGAAAACAAAACAATGTTTTAATTTTAAGGGATAGTTGAATTATGTCAAACCATACGGTTAAGGTTAAAATTTATTGAAAAAAATTCTAAATCTCCACAATTTTTATGGACATGCATAACATTTATGAAAACATTTTTAATAAATAATTATTAAAATTATGTTAAAAAACAATGGAGTCATCTAAGCCAAAACTTGTGACATAATTTCTGGCAATTTCATGACTTTATGACTCTATGTTATATGATTATGAGACATGTGTCTATTTTATAGCATTTATTGTTTATTTTATGACATTCTCATCATAGTTAAAATTCTTCTGAAAATGATAATGAAAGTGAAAAGCAAGCAAGAAGACATGACTAACGGCAAGATTTACATATTTTTTAAAAAAAAATAGCTCCAAAAGCTTTTTGTATGATTTCTCTTATTTTTAAATGGACTTTTATGGAATAAGGCAAAAGTCATATTGGGTCAATTTTTTATGGACTTTCTGCAAATTTATGGGCAATTGGTAAGTCTGGCTTGTGTTAGCAATATCAGTTTACATCATTTTTCAAGAAATAAAGTTGCTAAATCGTACAATAATTTATAATTTTTAACAACCAACTATATGTTACTATTATTATTACCATGTTACACATGATTATGCCCAATTAAGGAGTAACAATAATAACAGATGTCTTGGCTTCCGGGATTTATGAATATAAAATATAGGTAAAGATATATTTAAATCTCTTATTTAAATTTAATGTTAAATGAAACAAACTATTATATAAATAAGCCTTTACTTTACACCCTGAGAAAATGAAAAATTACTGGCCCATCTTTGCCCTATCCTATAATATATATACCAAACTTTACCAGTGTTTATCAAATTTGTTCCACCACAGGCCTAAAGAATGAAAGAAATTTAGCATGTAACGCAACAAAAATATTATGATTACGAGAAATATTTTAATAACAGGGGAAAACTCAGAAATATTTTGCATACAACCAAATCAATTAAAAATTTAGACGCATAATCTTTAAATTATGTATTAAAAACTTGCCATTATCTATAGAATAAATTTTCTATTGTTATTTAAAATTGCTGGAAACAAAAATACTGTAATTTTAATTTACTTTAAATGTTTTAAACTTAACTATTGAGACTGAATTTTTAAAAATTTTATTCAATAAATAGACAAGGATTGTCAATGGACAGTGAATACCTGCGGATCACTGGTTTATTAACTGTCTGAACTCCAAATCTTATATTCTTCAATACTATTAGTAGTATTGTATACAGAGGCATTAAATATTGAAAATAATTGCTAATGATTAGTATAGTATGAATAATAAAGATTAGATTTAGTCTAATTTAGATGATTTTGAATATTAATTGGACTGCTGAGATACCAAGTTGACTGAGTCTACTGAAGTCTAATCACTGTTCACTAACTAAATAAGTTACAGCTACATATACACAAAGTTAGGTTTGGGCTTTCATAACTTATACTTGTAAGAAAGGCCCCTAGTCCTAATAATTTTATTAAGCAATGAGTTTTAAAGAAAAATGTATTTTATATTAATATTTTATATTATAACATAAGCCCAATCTATGTAATAATAAATAATAATTAGTTACATTAGTGAAGACTAGTAAAGGAAATAGTAGAACTTTATATTTCAAGCTTCCACATATATTATATATCATATCATTGATCATATGTTTTTCTACTATTTCCTTCACACAGCTTGAATGCAGTACTTCATTCATTATCCTGAAGACTACTTACACCAATCTAGTGTGTCGTCACTCATAGTCATAATATAAGCATAGACTACTACTATTACTACCAAGACTAAGACTAAGAGTGACTTACTTAGAGTGTCTCCAGACACTAGAAGTTTAGCTCTACTCTGTTTCTAGTCACAGTCGGTCTTCTAATACTAGTAATACTAGCAAGTAGAGTGTTACTTTACTGTGACTAAAAAAACACTCACACTCACAGATTATAACTAACTAATTAACTAAGACTACTAAGTCTAAAGTTTTTAGTAATTAACAAAGAAGACTAAGTTAAGTCACTTACAATACTTATCAGTAAGTCAAATTTTTCAAGTAAGAATTTTTATAATTTTTTAAAAATTATTTTTATTCAGTATTTAATAAACTTATAAACCGGGGCAGGGTATTCACAATAATCACAATCACAATGACTTGGACTTGACTATGACCGATCGTGACATTAACTTCCTTTACTAATTATAGACTAATAGAAAATGTAGGGTCAAGTCTTTTTTTAAAGTAATTTAAAAGATAGCTCTCTTTATTGGAAAACTTACTTTAGAATTTTTCACAGTACAGTCATCAACACAAGTAAATATGCATTTTTATTCCCATCTCATTGATGACTTTTTCAGCACATTGAAGACTACATTGTTTACCCTCGTTACCAGATCGTTACGCATGCGATATTCCTCACAACTTCCGGACGAGTTTTTGTTGTGCATCTGTTCACGTTCTTTCTAGTTCCGGTTTGTGGATACGGTATGTATATTTTTAAGCCTCTGCTTAGATGACAATTTAATCTGTTCTATTATTTTCTTATAAGCTATAACATTCCATTATTAAAAACTAAATTAAAATTAGGTATGGTTTATCGCATTTTATTTGATGGATGAATGCAAATGTATTGAATTTTTTACGATTGATGGGACATATCCAAGTCTACAAACTAAGTAACCTATTTTCGACTCAAAAGATGCTGATGGTTATAATCTGTATATTAATGATGCCAATTCTAGTCTTTTTAAAAAGATGTACAAATTCAGTTCATTCGCTTAATTTTTGGATTTTTTGTAAATGTGTTTGGGGTTCATTTCAGCACAACGTTGTCCCTGTGTGTAGCGTTTTTATTTAAGAGTAAGACACAATGGTTGGATTATAGCCAGGATTATGAAATTATGATCATGACACATGATCAAAAAGTAAATAAAGATAGCCTGGGTTTAGATATATAGACCTACCCTGTGGCCCATGGCTATAAAGTATAAAGTTTTTTAAAAAAATTATTCAATTCTGTTTGAAGTAAAAATCTAAAGCTATTAAAATTTGTTTTCTTTTGAACAGTTTCACAATGGCCGAGAAACCCCAGGCGCAGCCCAATCCCGCGAAGAAATCTGGCAGGTGAGTTATGCAGAGAGTTTGTAGTGTTAGGCTTCTTTTTCAAACTGTGTCCCAGTCCTAGCAGACAAGTCCCATGGTGGGGTTAGGCCGTAGACAGTCTAGTGACGCAGGTGCGCACAGAGCACTGCCCCATTGGCACATACTTCTGGAGGCTAGATCGCAACAGGGACCCTACTGCTGTGATTGCAGCCTGGTCCCGGAAACACTAGCGCACCTGTTGTATGTCCCTCATTAGATTTGGGGTATGCCAGGTTGGTTGGAGAACCCTATGTGAGGAAAATGTTGTATGGCTCAGCTCAGCAGATGTAGCTGGTAGCCAATGTACTAGGTCATTAGAGTAGTTTCATGCCCTCACCAGTATATGTGCGTTAGTTGACTAAATCAGGATCATGATGTATGCAATATTCTTCACAGGTTGCATGTATGCAATCCTGTGCTACATGTTAATTAGGCCAAATATCCAAAGTTTTTTTTATGAAAGGTTTTAGTTATATTTAATAATAATAAAGATTATTTAAAAATCACACTTCATCCCCAAAGGCTCGAATATTTATATTGTCGATTTCTCAGCTGAAAACGTATGCTAATTTCCAAACATGCTGCTGCTTTGTAAACTTTCTTACTGGATGGGTATATTTTACAAGTTTGCAGATTACAGTACCACAGTGGTGGTCACCGGTAATTCATTCAGGTTCTCTATCATATGCTTTGGGGATGCTAGATGCTTCCTATGAAAGAGACATGAGGGTGCTGGGTGGCCGAGCGGTCTAAACTGTCTCAAACCAAATGGCTGGTGGTCTGGCGTTCAATACCTGCCAAAGCCAACATCCCAAGTACCCCGGGTGGATGGGACTCATTAGCCTTGGAGGCAACCCATCTAAGAGAAGGCAAACTGAACTGAATTTAAACCAGGAGCCAGAATGATCAACAAATGGATAGTGGGCCCCTTAAATATAAGAAGAAGAAGAGACAAGTAGCCTACTGGTATTATTAACATTCAGCAGTGAGGATAGTTGGGACAGTTCTTAAAATATGTAATGGTGCATACGTTCTTCAATAATATGCCTATACCATTTGAACTTGCTGTGAGGAACTGTTGACAATGTACTGCTAAAAAACGTCTCGTGCCATCCCTTAAGCCTAAGCAAATATAATGTCCACTTCCCCAGTACGAGTATTTTCATTTAATTAACTTGATTGGGAAGCTCTTCCAATATAAGAATATATTGAGATTATTTATAGTGAATATAGTGTGTTTTTTAAGAACTTGATATCAATGATTTATATTAGGGCTCTATGGCACTATAAGACTTGGTTTTTTTGTAGGAATATGGATAACTTAAGTCATTGGTCAGTCTTACAAATAAAATAAAAAAATACTATGAAATAGTGCAAGGTCTAATATTACAGTTATGATAACTACAAAATGAAAAGGCTGTGATAGGACTGGTATAGTTTATTTGCATTCAGTGGTAATGACTAGAATTACATTTTTATTTACTTTGTTCTATCTTGGATACAAGTAGTAGTATAATATTCAGCATTTGGGAAGAAGATATTTTCATTGCTGATTACAAATTTTCTATAATAATAAATACTTCAGTTTTTAGATTTCTAATACAGATTTTAAATATATTTCTGTAGTCGTTTCCAGTTCAAATTATGTTGTACATTTTCTTTTTAGGCTATACTGCAAAGCAGTTTTTACTGGTTACAAGAGAGGTCACAGAAATCAACATGAGACCACAGCTCTGTTAAAGATTGAGGGTGTGACTACAAAGAATGAGACAGACTTCTACCTTGGCAAGAGATGTGCTTATGTGTACAAGGCTAAAAGGTGAGAGATTCATAATAAGAAAACAATTTGTTAGAGAAAATGAGTTTTTAAACTTCTTTACATGAAATTGTTTTAACATATCAGATTAGGTCATCTAATTCAGAAATAACTTAGTTAATAAACTAATTAATTTCCAGACTCACAGCATGTCCTGGACATGATAAACCAAGTCGTTTGAGAGTAATTTGGGGTAAAGTGACTCGTCCCCATGGAAACAGTGGTGCTGTTAGGGCCAAATTCAGGAAAAATCTACCAAGCAAAGCTATGGGCAGACGTATCAGGGTGGTGAGTGTTTTCTTTGTGAAACTTTTTTGATGTTACATTTATTTTCACAATTTTATATTTTTTCCATGGGTGAATCATGGTATTTAGTAACGGTATTAGATTAAAATGTTATTTTAAAAAGATTTTCACGCTTAGGGTGGATAAAGGATGGGATCCATATATTATGTATGCACTGAAAGGGGGGGGGGGTTTGTTTGTTTAATTTGGATATTAGGCTGGCTAGGATCTTGACAGAAAGCATAAACATTTATGCACACATAAATAAGTGTCCTAAAAATAAGTCTGATTCTAATACAGCCAGTCACCTAACATTTTGTGATTTCTAATAATTTAAAAAATAAAAGAATAAAGCCAAAATAAATATCACCTCTGTTATACAATTTAACAATTAAATTACCTTGTTTCCATGAGTAACTGAAAGCATATCACAACATTAATACTGATTTTTAGCTTAGTGACTCACTGCATATACATGTATAAAAGTGTGGTGGGGGGTGTTTGTTAAATATGACCTTTTGTGCATATGTTATTGAAGGCCGCCATAATAAAGCAAATTCCTGACTTCAAATGAGTTAGTTTAACAAAATAATTAACATTCATCCCTAGCTAAAACTGTTGGCCTGACCTACTTGAATGTTCATTTTGTTCTCCTGCCTAATCACGGAAATATCTCTGTTTTACAATTATTTTTATTAAATAAAATTTAAGATGTGCAAAGTCAGTTATTTAATTTGCCTTTTTTTTTTATTTCAGATGCTGTACCCATCTAGGATTTAAGTGCAAAACACGTAATAAAATAATTAAAATTGTTATTGGATTGTTGGTTATTACTTATCTTGCCTGTAAACATTTGTTAGTTTTTGTGTAGTCTTTTTGGTTGTTTCAGTGTATTGTGTTGACGATGTCAATGTGCTATTTGAGTAATGTCAATTTTATCTGGTAGAGCAAGAGTATGTACCAGTCTGTCTAGATTTCACTCAATTTACAACACTTCTCAGAGCGACTTGCCTTTATGAGAATAAATTTCAATATGATAATTGATCTAAAAATTAATACAAAATTACAAAAGGGCTATTGTAGGGAATGGGTACCTGCACTTTGTTGTTATAGTTGAATGAAGACAAAGTTTTATCAGGTTAAGTTGATGTTTAAGAATTAAATGTTTTTTTTTAACCACATGAAAAATGGGGTGTCTTTGCCTTTAAATGTGAAAGATGGTGCAATGCATGTAGAACTTAGTTATTATACTAATACAAGCAAATAGGATCTCCATTTCTATATTCACTTGATTGGATTTGTCAAAAATTATTGAGCGAGAGACTCAATAGACCCAATCAATGTAACCTTCCTATATAAGAAACCTGGAAGTGACTTAAGCAGAAGCAAAAGTGGTGGTACAGGCATTTACTTATACACTTACTTACTTCCGACGGGTAAAAAAAAAATGTTTCATTGTGCGAATTTCATCTTCAGCTGTCTTATTCATACGGTATTTCATAAAAGTTAAAAGCTGAAAATTTTATCACACCTTGAGACAATCGCTTACTATGATGACATTCGAGACTGACCGTGACTGGTCTACTGTGCCATTGCAACGACGCCTGGCTCCCCACAGCGGCAGAGAAAAATATTTGTTTTACATTCAGAATTAACAGATTGCCAAACAACTTTTCCGTAGTAATTTAACAATTAAATTGTTTCAAAATAAAAATATGGAACAGCATAAATATTTAGGTTCTGTACCGGTACAACTTGACACAACTAAAATAAAAAGGAATTCTGTGACCCATGCATGGTCAAGGGAACCTAAATTTCAAATAAAATCGTTTCTGTTGTTGGGCGGTTCAGGATAAAATAATAGAAAAACTAAATTCATGTCCACACCAGTGTGCATCCCATCCTTTTCAGTGTATCAAAACTTTTCAGGGGAGGGGGCTTACTAAAGAACCTTACCCACAGTTTCGTTCAGGCCCCTCGTTCTCTTCTCACTCCCCCACCCCCCTTTTTTTTTTTCCCTCATTAAAGTGACTTTATAGACACATTGTAATCTTTAAAATGCACTGGGTGCTTGTAAAAATAAAATGATTTTTTTTTTTAACGGATAAAGTTATGACTTTTTATTTTTGGTATATGTATACATAGTTGGACTATATAGATTCCAGGGGCGAAACTAAGCTTTGGCTAATCGCATACACCTCAGGGGGGCTCACTACCAGAATGAATTTATGGTTATGTGTAGCAAGGGCGAAGAACTCAGATCTTACCTCTCTGGGCGTACTCAAAATGCCTAATTTCGGTACAAATAGATGCCCTCCACCCCGAACGACTGGCATGCTACCCACTCCCTAGCAGATAGCATTACATAAAAGAAACGGGTCAAACTGGGCATGGGCTAACTGATAACTGCGGCCATGATCTCATTTTGCCTCAAATGTCTTTTTGGAACGCATTATTTTGTTTTACTACAGATCAAAAAGAAATTTGAAGAAGATTTGATAGTGTGAACTGAACTAAAAATTCGATCAAACTTCCGTCGACGAAATATCTTTCAAACAAATTTCTTGATACGATTGTCTACACAAGACAATCTAGATTTAATTTAAGTTAACTTCGTCTTCAAAATCACCAAAATGTTGTGTAAACTTCTTAAAAACCATTGAAGTTAAACAATGCAAAACTATATTGGTATTACACACGTTATATTAAAAAGGAATAAGTGCGATGAAAAAATAACATAGATAATAACATAGATTCTGGAGTAAAAAAAACCCCCATAGAAATAGAAACATAAACAAGAGCAGAAAAACACAAGAGTGGCAACATTGGAAAGGTGAATTTAATCGGTTGGTTGAGACATTCTTCTTACGGCATTGTTGTCGCCGAACCGTTGTCGCCATGTCACCCGAAAAACTTTCAGCCCATATGGCGATGCCTGATCGCCTATTACTAATTACTATTAATAATTAATGGGTCGATCCGTCCCTGGTTGAACTCTAATTTAATACATAAATACAAATTGTCCGTGCACCATAAATTAGTAGCCTACACGCGATAATTTAAAGAAATGTAAATTGTAAATGAACGCGGGGAAACATAATAACTTTTACTGGCTTTGTTTAATATGTTTTATGCTTATTGATATTGAAAGCGTGTTTCGTAATGGCTTATCAATCTTCTCGACCTAGGATATTTAGCCGACACTTCTCTGACACAATGTGCCTTCTATTTTACACAAAATTATAATTTTGTTTGTTTTTAACTGAGGCAAGTTGCCGACACTGGATGAAAAAGATTCAACTACACTACAATGTTGTGTTGTTTAATTCGTCCAAACGGGCGTTGGTTGTGGAAATGGTAGGGTGTGTGTGTGGGGGGTGTGTGTGCTAGGTGATGGTTTTAAAAGAAAAGACATCTTTGACATAAAATATTTTTGTGAAATCGAATTTTCTAGCTTTAATTAATTAAACATGTATTTTTTGGCGGAAGACGTGATGCAACATTCGTAAAACATTTCCGGTTCTAATAAGTTTATGGTAGTTCCAGTTCGTTCTCGGTGACGTGGAAGTTCAGGTTGGGTTCGCTTCGGTCACCCAGCAGGATCCGGGTTCGGTTTGGCCGTCAGCAGGTCGGTGTGTTGAGTTGTTACGTAAGAGTTCCCCTGTTACAGGGGTTTTTATATCTCCCCGTTGGATATGTCTATCCCTGACAGTGCATTACACCAAAAGATAGCCTGCAGGCCTTGCCTCTTTGATGAGTTAATGGTTCCCTTTCGAGTAATCTTTAGATCCCTCTAGGGATCAAACATCACCGCACGCGCGAGCTCACACACCCTACTCTCGTTTGTTAAGGATTATTAAGGTCTGCATAACACGTGTGCTTCAGTCGACCAATAACATTGACGTTCATTACACATGTAGGCCTATAAATTATAACAAATTCTGAAAATAACTAAGTTATATAAAGAAAATCCATTTTCTTTTTGTTTTAGTGCATTTCTATGACAACAATCATATTTTTTTAAAATTAAACAAACCCTAAAAAATTTAATATAAAAAAAGGGGGAGGGGGCTAAACATTTGACAAAACATGCTTACAAGTAACCATGGGCGCCCGCAGGTAGGGGAAAGGTGGGGCACTTGTCCCCCCCCCCAGTCCCTGGATTGATTGGATAAAAAAAATTTAGACCAAAATAGNTGGAAAGTTAATCCATTTTTTTCCCCCCCCCCCCTTCCTAGAAAGTTTTCTGCGGGCGCCCATGCAAGTAACACACTTTATAAAAATCGCAACCGCACATTTTTTTCACACCCCTGAACTAAATGAATATTCCAACTCCCACCTTCTTTTACACAGGAGATTTATTTCACGAACAATTTTAGAAAAATAAAGAAGAAAATGTCACGCACCAAGCGCACTTGCGAAAGCTAAAAAAAAAAAAAAAAAAAAAAAAAAAAAATCACAACACAAGCGAACTTGCGAAAAAAAAAAAAAAAAAAAAAAAAAAAAAAAAGAATAGCGCAGTTATCGGGAATTTATTTTATCTTCCCTTTGAAAAACAAGAAAACCTGATTTTGGGGCTGACAATTTTATAGAAAGTGGTTTTATTGACAACGAGTCTAATGTATCTAGTTTCAACTCAATGGGTTAACGGGAAGTGGGTCAATTAGCCGTCCGAAGATTTCGCCAGTCCGCCACCCAGCCAGCTAACGACGAAAAAAAAGCGAAGTTAATATAAAGGTTTTTTTAAAAATGAAATTTATTATTTAATTTATTTATAATTTTTTACAAAACACTTAAACTTCGATAGTTGCCGAACTTCAGCGGTGGCCGGATGGAAACTGAACTTAAGTTGTTACCGAACCCGAACTTCTGAATGATGGTTCGATTCCCATATCTGGTTCATAGTCTGGTTCCGGAGGACCCAACATCCACGATAAAACATTTTGTAGCTGGCCGAAAATACCACCCTCAAGATACAGAAAAAAAAGTACAACTCCCTCCGCACCCCCTTCCTTTGCCATGGAGTACAGCAA